AGTAAAATCTGCGGATCGCTAAAGAAACGAAAACGGACTCGCGTAGAAAAATTAAAGTATACTCTCATCGTATCTCTCATTTCTCTCATTCCCAATTATTTATCTTTATAACAAACCTCTCACTATAACTGATATAATTCTCTCCCCGTTGCACGCTGCTTTTCTTCGCACGTGAGAAACGAGATCGTAATCACACAAAAACGCAATGTCGTATGTAATAGAAAAAACATCGATAGTCTCGTACCAGCGTACATATTCATACCATAAGCACGACGTCGAAATTCCCGCTCATGGTGTGAACCCTGTAGAAAAACTCTTTCGTAGAAAATTGACGCTAGGGTATAATGTTTTCTTCATTTTATTTTTTTTTACAAGGCGTACTATGCACACATTTCCCGGCTAGCTGCCCTAGTTTTCACACGGTGCCACGATACTTGAGAGCTTTAGGAGGCACAAATATGAATTTTGTATAATTCAGATTAGTAATTATTCAAAAAAACTTGTTGAAATAAATATGACAAATTTTTTCACAGTCACTTAAGAGAGAGATTTCATGAAGATTTAATTAATGAACCAATTATGAGAAAATTTTATAAGAGAGATAATTATTTAATGACGAATTAATTGGTATACTTTTCCGATTTTTTTGTGAAATGCATTTGCTATTATTTATGACTCCTTTAGAAAAAACTGTGGCGTTTGATATAGCACCATTGCACTCATGCAATCGTTAAGGTCTAGCGCGATTATACATCTCTATTTAATACTATACAAGAATTACCGCAATAACGCAAGCTTTAATGTGCGCGTAATTCGTTGTCTCAATCACATTTGATTTCTGAACAGTTGTAGAAAAACGGATAATGTATGGATCTATATAAAATGACGATATTCACATTTGCCAAAAGTGGCGCCGAAGTAATTTAATTAGTTTCATTTAATATATGAAATATTTAACAATATGTTGCACCCGCACAATGAAATGCTGCGTATAGGAGAATGTGAAAAACAGATTTTCATTTCAAAACTATATATAATTATGCGAAAATACCGTGCCACCGTGCAAGAAACTATTTAAGAAACATTTAACAGCCGATCGTCTAATAGCATTTTATTTAGCTTTGGACAGTCGCATGTTTCTTTTTTCGATCGTTTTTTTTTTTTTTTTTTTAATGGTTTTCGATCCTCGAAACCGGAAACGGAAAGTTGTAAGTTTACCTCAAGAGGAAGATATAATTTGAAATACGGTCGCGTTCCGTCGTATTCAATACGATATTTAACGAGCGAGATTAGCGAAGGATAGTCGGGATGCACGTAGGTAAATTGGAAATTTCGTTCAAGCCCCCTTAAGTTGTATGTGAAATTGCGAGATTAAATATATCCTAAAGAAATCAATATATACGATAATATACGCTATGTTACCAGTCAAGCGTTTTTTTTTTTTTTTACCGAGCGCGCTTTAAAAACAATTCTCGCATCCAGCGTATACTTTCGCGACGTCTTTCAACAGAACGATTGATATGTGAAATTTGAAACACACGTTCACGATCTCTTCTTTTTTTTTATTATTTTCTTATATAACGTCCTATTTCGCATAGATCGTAAATTGACGCATTTTGATCAGCCTCGCATGACTATTGTATACCTAACGTTCCCGCAATCCTCTGTTTTAGCGCGTTATCTCACGAGTCAAAATAGTAGTTAAACCTGCGTTTTTTTTTTTTTTTTTTTTTTTTTTTAAATCTCGGGCTGCCAGGTTACGCCAGTACGGATACTATGCATCCATTTCCGATTTCCGGATCTGTTTCCCGTGACCTGATCCAATTTCGCCGTTTCACGCCCAATCTCTATCTCTCGATACAAAAACTATTCTCACCTCTTTTTTTTTTAATTTTTATTTAATAATGTCTCACTCTTGTCTGTTAGCATTTACGGAATAAGGTTCACACACCTCAAATAGTCACACGATCTCTGTTTAATTCTAAAATGTTATTCTCCCCCGTCTGTTTGTAGTGCACTATATAGATGCGTATCTCCTTATACGTACATTGCGTACGGTATATATGTACACGTAATATCTTGTATGTGTATGTGAGTAGAGTACTAACACAGCGCTTCTTTGCCGCAGTTTTTTTAATCGTTTTATCGACATAAGTAGACATTGGCTAAATAATAGTGTCTATTAGTTAGCAGTGGTAGTAAGAGTACAGTTTCTTCTTTTCCCTTTTTTTTTGTATATGATCACTTCGTTCTTTTCCCTCGCACTCATTTCGGAGAGCACAGTAACAACGTTATATATTTTTATATATAATATTATATAGTAATGCGTACTTCTCTTAGGCCCGAACCGGCAGATTAATCCTAGACCGTTCGTACAGATTAATCTATAAAAACGTCGATTATGCGGTCTACGACTACTCTACCATTGGAATGTTTTGACCTCTTATACGCATACTCTTCTCTTTCTCTCTTTCTCTCTCTCTCTCTCTCGGTTCTATTTTTTATTTATATATGTATATATAGTATTTATATATATATATAATATATTCTTATTAAATGAGACGTGTGAAGATGTGCAAAATAATGACAGAAAACTATGTTTCTCTTACATGAAAAATAGGTACTTCTTTCTTTTTCTCACTTTCTCTCTCTCTCTCTCCCTCTCTTTCTCTCCCTCTCGCACGTGTGTGTTTCATGTTTACATATGTATATGTATGAAACTCGCGTGTAATCTTTAAAATCTTATGTAGAGATATATATGTACATGTATTCGCGATAACGTGTTTTACGCGTCAACTAGAAAAAACGACTTGGCTCATTTCTTTTAATCGTGCGTTTGCCGATGCGTCCCGTCATCACGTAAGTCAAAATCATACGCGGGCATTATTTTAATAGAGGATGAACAATTTACTTTTCACGCGAAAGAAAACATTACAGTCACCAATCTAAAAAGAAAAGCGAATGACTGCCGTTACGTTCGAGTCTATGCAATATTGAAGAAACTTTTTTTTATTAATCCTAAAGAGCACGACAAAGAGATTAACATATTTTGTTAAAAATTTATCAATTTTATGTATTGATATTGAATAATTATTGATAAAAAATAGGTTAAAAAAAATGAATTAAAAAAAAATGTATTGTTTAAAAATAAATGAATTTTGAATTACTCTTTTAAAAATAAATGCTGGGTAAAGACGTGGCTATTTTATCATAATTTTATATATGTAGAAATTTTAGTGGGACACAGTATGTGGGATACATTGATGCTGCAAATTTATTTGTACTCTTTAGGATTAAAGAATAATAAACGTTATATGATTCATAGTTGCAGGTACTACTATAATTATTTTTTTTAATACTGTTTTATGCCGAATTCACTTGTTCTATGAAATCTTTCAAATGAAGAGAGTATTCTGTTTCGTTCGTCGATTAGGATCTGCAAAATATATGAAGCTAGTTCGATTGATATCAATTGGTCTTAAAGATGCGAATGTTTATAAATTATTGTTCGAACGAAATAAGATAGATCGAGCTCCGGGGAAATAATGTGATCTGTATAAATTGCTAAGTATCAGGGTTTAGTCAGTGTCAGATCATTTCTCGCACGTAGCTGAACATTACATCTTGCAACACGATATTTAACCACTATGCATAATATCTCATATATAATATATGTTTATCTGTATTTTTTGTCATTTATTTAGTCGCCTAATTATGCGGTAGTGGTATAGTAATCATTGCAAGTAATATAATCGTAACAATAATAATAATTTATTACATAGTATTTATAGCTTCTCTTATAGTACATCGCGTTATTTTTTGTATTTACCTCATAAAAAGATACTTTGCTTGCGTTTCGCTTAATATTCATTCATTGACATGTAACCACAGCGGCCCAGAAGACTCTCAACAAGTAAACACAGCCTTCGGGCCTTCGGTAGCATTTGTGTAGAACCGATTAATCCGTATAATCATCGCATCGCAATCTATTTTTCCTCTCTCTCTCTCTTTCTCACTCTTGAATTCGTTTGCGGATTTTTCAACGCGCGACTATAGTCATCCCCTCACCGATCCTATTTGTGTATCAGGACGGTCTATCGAATGTATCCGACACTGAGTCGCAACGTGTATAATCATCACTCGGCCTTAGTGTCGTTATAATATTCTCGAAGCGAATCAAAACGTAGCAAAATATAGAAGGATCCTATCAAACAAAGCGAGTACTGAACGCAAATTATTTCGCGTTCTGAAATAAAAAACAAAAAGACTCCTCCAGTGAGACATTAGCCCATTTGACGTAAATTCTTTTCCTTCATTCTTGCACTTTTTTCCCGGAACACGGAGTATTTACGCGTTATATTCGTTTTACTTATTTACGCGGTCCTAATGCAGTACGAAGCTAAAGATAAATCGCGTTAACTTAATCGGAATACTCTGGTCTTACGACGTACGATTTCTCTCTATGTTAGTTGTCTTAAAAAAAAGAGCATCTATAATTCATCATGTAGATTATACTGTTTTTTTTTCCTCTCCTAAAGTGCGAAACGTCAACTTGCAAAATCACAGAGAATTACGCATCATTACACTGTTATTTAGGATTATACCTAATTTCTCACGACGTGGACTACATATTCTCTATAAACTTCTAGGCCTGCTCTTCGTCGTCTTTGAGATCTTCATTCTTCGCTGCGTCTATCCGCCTTTCTTTAATATTGCACTTGATGCGACGCGGCGATTATTCTCAATGAAGAGACGCGGCGTAAAACAAGGCTCCATGTTCTCCAACCGAGATACAGATGGTTTCTTTTTCCATCTTATACGTTCGTAAAAGATTAAAACTTCATGAATGTGGGAATTTCGGCAACTTTTAAAAAATCGAACAAAGTTTGAAAGATAAAGGGGATCTAAAATATTTTTTTAAAATTTCTTCTTTGTTCTTCGCGATATCTTTGTGAAATATATACATATACATATATATATATATTTTTTTTTGTAGAAAGATTTTATATATATTATTAAAATAGTGGTAATATATATATAAAATATTAACACCAATTCTCTGTTTTCACACATACAATTTATACGCGTCGATTAAGATACATATACATATATGTATATTAATCGCTGCATTTTTTTACGGATCTATATCATGGTTGGAGGATAATATTCGATTGTTCTGGTCAGTTTTGCGGTCTTGGACGAAAATGCCGTCAGATTAATATAAGAAGGCGCTATAAATCGATTGCTAGAGGACTACTGTGGCATGGCCGATATCTAGGTATAGACCGCTGCTATAGGATCGCCCAAGCACGAAGCACAAAACCACCAGCTTTTTATCGATAAGAAAGTTCTATTATTCCAACATGGAGCCATTAATATCTCTGCGTATGCTAGTAAAACGAGTGTCGTCATTGATACGAATCCTTGTGGAAAGTGTCGCTCTTGTGGAAGATCCTCCGTCCTTCTCTCGTAAGTTCTTGGCTCGCGAAATTGTTCTCAGACTTTGGTCTGGGCAAGAGACAAGCCGGTAGCGATCTAAGCTCCATACTGTGTACCTGAAATGACGAATTTGATAAAGTGACACAATGTACTTATCTATTTTTGATAAAAACGGGAGAAAATGGATAAGTAAGATTTTAGGTAAAAATATATCATGTGGAAATTTGGTTCTTTCTTTTTTTTTTTTTTTTTGCTAGAGAAGAAAGACTGTCGAAATTATAGCAGATGAGTGTAAGTGACGTTCGATCGCGTATACTTACTGATTCTTCGCTGGCGCTGGCATGCGCGGCCTGCTCCGCGAGTGCATTTACTACAGCGTTTATCGTTTTTGATTCGCTGCCAAGATCCTCTTCGCGATGAGCCACCAAGTTAGGATTCTTTCCGATTTTGTTTAGCCTACAAAGAGAGCATGATTAAGCGTAGGGAATGTTGCACGGGGCATAACCGACGATTATTTACACCAAATTCTAAACCACTTAGCAGTACAATTGTCCATTTTGTGACGCTTGTCGCTTATCTGTACTCAACAGACATTATTATTTGTTTTACTACTTGCACTGCTAAAGGTAACTGAATGAAGTTAACTGATAAAAGAATTCATTATCTTTGCCACACACAATAATCAATAAAGTTTTATGTTGATTTGTCCTCGCAAGAAATAAATCATGAATATAGTGATTATAATAAATGTCGATATATTAATTCTCATTTAACAGACTTTATAATATTCTTAAAAATAATTTTATAAAAAATCTTGTAATATTACCGAGAAAATAATTTACAATATTATAATTACCTTATGGTTGTGTGACAAAAATTATATTTGAAATAATTTAAAATATGTTATGCCAAATTATAAGAAGATTATTATGTAATGAATGTGTCGAGAGTGTAAAACTTTCATAACTTTAAAAACTACGTTTCTTAATTATTCTAATAAGATAATATCCGATTTTTTTCATTAGATATTATTAGATATCGGATATTCACCCTTTTATGCAGACGAGTAAAGCAAAAATTCCGATTATATTTATTTTATAATATTTCGAAGCTATAACCCTCTCAACTCATTATAAGTATCGTAAGTTAGTGCGCTTTCATCATAAATTTATCCCAAATTCTTTCCAATTCTGCACTGTCTCGCTCACAAAAAAAATCACACAAAGAGCAATATACATATTTGTATATTATTTAAAAAAAATTTTTTTTTTTTCAATCAAAATTGAATTGATATGTTTGTGTGTATGTGTGTGTAAAACAAGCGTTGTGTTCTAACAACACATACGAGAGTATTGGTATATGTTGAGGAAAGAGCGATGATTTCGACAGGCAGCAAATGACTGAACTTCGTTTTGTTGAACAATACACAATGCTCAAATAAAGTAAATGGGAGTGATGATTGACATCTATTAGCACACCAACTCGATAGAACAAACCTAACCAAAGCTTATACCTCTCGGCGGCAACGCTCTCCATCGTTCTGCGCATTAGCGGATACTGGTCCAACACGGCATTGAAATGGTCCACCGAGAGGCTGAAAAGATTGCAATAGGTCTCCGCTCGGACCGACGCTACCCTCCTCGCGTTCGTCAACAGACAGATTTCGCCGAAGTAAGATCCGTCCGATAACGAGGTCGCGACTTCGCCGTTCGCCATTACGATATCGACTATGCCTTCTTGTATGAAGTACATTTTCGAGCCGATAGTACCCTCCTTAATGATGATATCACCTATAAAATTCATTCCCACTTGAATGACACGTACGGTTCTTTGAGCGACGCGCAAGGAAATACCTTTCCGTGCCGTGACGCTAATAAACGAGATGTTTTACATGTATGTATGTGTGCGATAGAAAACGCGCTTTTACGCGATAGCGATAATCGATACCTGGCTGGAAGACTTCGTATCTGAGTTTCGTGACGACATCCGAGACGAAATTCGAATCGGCATTGGCGAAAAAGGGCACGGACGCCACCAGCGATCTGCAGTTGTAATTTATCACATCCTAAAAGAGGAAATGCAATTTTTCGAGAACATTGTTTCGCATCGTATAAAAGACGTATTCTTCTTCAATCAATTTTAGAAACTCTGTCGACGAGTTCTAGATTAATATTATGTTAAATAATATCAATTGGCAATATTTAAGAGTATACTATAAAGATTATCAGATGTCTCTTTCAGAAATATTGTAGTCTGATTTAAATCCGATAGAAATGTCGTACTTCTCTCAATTTTTCCGAAAGCTCCCCAAGAATCAGCTCCTCGTCGAAGAACTTTCCTTGGTAGCGATGTTCGAAATACTCTGTGATCCTCTGTCTCATTTCTCTCGGTAGTTTTCGATAGGCCATATATTCCTCTACTTGTTTCACCTACGGTTCACAAGTCAGAAGGGGAATTAAATTCTGGCGGAAACACACATCGGGCTTTTTTGCTTCCTACGATCTTGTTATATCTACCTTCTCGCGATATTGTCTTCTCGAGGAATCGAGAGATTGAATGAGATTTGTCGCGTGGCCGAGGAAAAGAGCATAACACGTCGCGCCACTGATCATGCTGAGCATGGTCAGCCACATGTCGGTCAAGGATTGTGGCGGAAACCTACCATATCCGATACACAGCATGTGCGACATGGCTTTGAAGAGGGCCCACGAGTATTGCTCCAGCCAAAACGAGTCCTGTAAATAAGCGTCAGGTCGTAACACGGAAATGCATTTGGCGATCGATTGCCAATTTCGATACAAAGTACAGAGTGTTTACGCAAAGTCTCTCTTGCGAGCTCGCTTCTTCAACATTTACGAGAAATTGGACAATATTGTCAAATCGTTCAAAAGCTACAACATATCATTTTGACATATTGTCGCGTGTAGGAAAGAGAGAATTTCTCATTTAATTTTATATATGCTAAATATACAGAAAAATTCACTTGGAGAAATTTAATTCATTTCACCATTTCTGTAAAAAATACATTTTGAAAAAGTAATTTTAAAGGGAAACAGAGTATATCTCAATTCTGCAAAATCTAAAATTATATATTAGTTTATAAATAAATTAATAAATGTATGTATATATTTTTTATTTCTACATTAATATATAACTTGAAATTTGCAGGACTGAAAGAAATTTATTTTTCATATATTAGCCATACACCTGTACATAGTTTAGCTGTATATTAAATATACAGAAAATATTTTGAAAAAATAATTTTCAAGAGAAACAGATTATAGTTGTACATGCTTATTAACTGCGCTGGATATATTAATTACTTACTTGTAACTCATTAATGGCTACCCATGAATTACTGGGAAATCCTTGAAGCATGGGTACCAGGAATTGCAGGCAGCCACTCCAATGACCGATTAAGAGCATCATACAGATCAGGTTAAAAATCCGCATGAACACCGACGCCATATTCAGGAACTGCCAACAACAACGGTAGAGTTTACTCTCGTGCCGGGTCGAAAATGTGTCAGAAATTTTTCTCACACTTTTTTGGTTAAAACTTCTCGTTTATCCAAAGCTCCGATTGCGTAGTGTACAGCAAGTAAGCGAGTGTTGCACAAAAACGCGTTAGATATATAATTCGTCGAGTACACTGTTCTATTATTGTTTTTGTTGCTTAGGTTTAGGAATATTGAATAAACTACGTGAAGAAGGATTCCATCACTAAGATCCAATCGTTTATCAATTTTTGTATAAATACAGGGAAAACGAATGGTGAAACATCAATCTATTTAACCCTTTAAACAATAAATTATACTTTATTAAAAAAATCGCGAATTTTTAGAATCAATATTTAAAAATAATCTATTTTTTCGCATTTCAAAAATCAATTTAACTCGTTAATAAATTTAAGGGATTAAGAATTGATTCAAACATTAAGATTGATTAACATATATAATATATTAAGTAAGAATAAATGATCATTTAGATCTTAGTGTGGATAATTTAGGTGAAAGAGTGTCACATTTTTCCTAAATTGTCATTGCCTTCATACTCTCGAAACTTTTTTTTTCGTTCATTAAGAAAAGCATGCTACATTAGAGAATACGCATCACGTGGCACACAAAAAAGAACAATTTAACGTAACTTAAAAACGTTGATAAATAACTGGTTAATCTACAAATGCTCTAACAAAAAAATATCGATCATTTGCAATTTGTTGGGTCGAGATTCTCAAACCGCTTATGCGCCAAATATAATAACAGAATAAAACAGAAACAATCGACGCTTATTAGTAACGTCGATGCAATCCATTTGAAAGTGAATTGCAATTATTCGGCTTCATCGTGCGCAATAAGTACGATATGGGAATCTGTCTGTACTAATTGTAAAATGAAAAGCGGAGAACGCGGAGAATATCCTGACCAATTAAATTGCTGAGTTAATCCTTCGGGAAATTCCGATTCATATTTTACTTTGATGATTACAATTCATGTGGAAAGTTTCATATACTATATATATTTTCTCAATGATATTAATATAACACTGTTATGTAAGTGGCTGATTTTTTTTTTTTAGCAATGTTAGCATGTTAAAATGGAAAATCGAAGATGTAATCCAATACAAGTTAGTTGGCTATTTTTAATAAAATGATTCGCGTAGCTAATTATAGTATAATGCAACAAGTGTATGGTAATGAGATTATCAAAATCTCTGAAAATTGCAGATTTATTGTATTTTACAATTTACCTCCATTCATATAAAATTATGAATCTTAGGAAAAATATCCTTCTTATGCGCAATTAAAAGGTTATCCATCGGATTAATTTAATTATACATTTGTTCAGAATAATTCAATAAAGTAGATAAATTACTCAGAACGAAAAGTGGATCGAGTCTCCGCGTTCTTCTGTTAATCGAGAGATAAAAGGATCAAGTTATCTAAAGGATTATTGAAGGTATCATATGAAGTGCGATTCATGTTCATGGTTACCACATAAGGTATGTACATGTGTGGCGATGACATATATATCCGTTTTCGCACGTATGCGTGCAGCACTCGCAATGAGAAACGCAACACGTGCGCCGCCAATAATAATGAGTGTGTCATGCACCCGCGGTCCTCGTATTCGGCAAATTCTGTTCGCGAGTGTTCAGTCGACGACGAAAATGAATTTTCAATACGACGCCGTCTCAGAGCACGTACGAAGAAAATTTCCCCGAATCCGACCCCGTTATATATGCGGCGGCGAATTGATATCTCCGAAATTAAACGCTTTTGCCCAAACATTCGTAAATAGTTCAAACATGAGCTTCATTTCTTTTTTTTAACGCGTCTGGTGATATTTATCATTCTCGAGCTTTTGTAAGCATATTTTTTTTTGAAAAAAGGTCGTTTCTTCGAATGCGTGGTCGATTGAAAAATTGCCTGATTAGTTTATAAAATAAATTATTAATAAATTCAAAAGTCAAATAAGGGATTTAAGCAAACGGTCATGGGCAATCGCGGTATAATGATCTTGAAATCGTACGGCAGTGGGACCCGTCATAACGGGTAATTACTCTTGCAGTTAACCGCAGAAGTGACAGAAGCATTGCACTACTGACATAATAACATAATGACACATAATAATCTGCTCAGACAAACGTGTCATCTTCCCGAGGATAACTTATGTTAGTTTCATAGCTTCACAAAAATTTCATATATTTTCCCTATTTTATTACAAGTTATACAGATACGCTGTAATAAATATTTATAAAAATTGCAAGAGCAAGTCATAATTTAAGTTACATTTATAATAATTTAAAATATGCTATTTTCAAATTTAAGCAATCTTAGAATCTAAGAATCATATATAGAAATAACGTTTTATATTAAAAATATTTTTATGAATGAAATTATTATTTTAGTTAATTTGTCAAATTGCATAGTTTTATCACTTGTGCGTTTACGCTACGGAGACCTAGTATGCAAAAAAAGTTCATTTACAAAAATTTCACATAATTATCGTAAAGATACGGTCATTAATTAAAAATTGTAATAAATTATAATGATATAAAAGACGATGAGAGAAAGAGATACATCGTTGCCCAATCGCCGTAAGATTTCGATGAAGCGCGGAGCTCTGGCTGTCTAAATGGCGATAAAATATTATGGATACATTCTATTATCTATTGGATATCGTGATATTCCATGGGTGATGATCAATGGTACTGTTTCTGCGCCTACGGGAAACAAGTAAGAACACGGGAAACTTATTGCTAAACGACATATAGCTCAATACGTTACCTGGTCTACAAGTCAAGATTACGTTTGATATGTGTACACGTTTGATATACACGTACACTCACGCGCACACGCATACATATACCTTCGATATCTTAATTAATGGGCAATGTACATAATGTACATGTATGCGCGTGGCGTGGCTTCGTAAATTAATATAAATAGAGAGAGAGAGAGAGAGAGATAGAGAGATAGAGATAGAGAAAAAAAGGGAACACAAGGTAAACGATACATCGTAACTCAACATCACAACCTTCTCTTCTACGAGACAGTCACAAGTCCAATAAAGATGTAAGCTTTGATTTGTTATGTCTCCACGATGATGAATGAATAATCAACGATTAATGAGTCAGCGTCGCTAATCAACCGATGGCGATTATTTCTAAGTGGCAACAACAAACGCTCTAAAACGACACCGGAACAAAAATGAGTATATATATATATATATATATATATATATACATATATATACATATATACGCAAACTAAAGACACAACAAAGAACAATCGACGAGTTCACGAAGGAGAGATGTTTATAGTGGGTATATGAGTTTCACGCTTCGTTCGAGACGATTCCAAGTGATTTTATTTTATGATGAGCATTATGAAGGGACAAAACGACAACAAAACGCAGCGGCTGCCAAGTCAGAACGATGTTAGTTTAAGCGGCGCAAGCGAAGCCATGAAGCAAAAGAAAGCCGGATTTTCGCTCTTTTGTGTCATCCGTTTCTATATATTCGCTCTTTCTTATCTCGCAAGCATATACATATACATAGCCAGCCGTATTGCACATATAAGTAAGGGGGTGCACTTTCTGCGGTCGAGAAGCAGCGACAGCGGATACAGCAACAGTAAGGGCGAGGGTTGGTGATAACACACGGGGGTTTACATAGGGTGAAGAATCGTTCGCAGAGCAGCGGCAGGGAAAGCGAGCTGTCTACTCTCTCATACACATTGCACCCTAATTTTACTGTTTCCGTTTAACACTCGCGCGTGTGGCTTGTGTAGGTATATTTAGCGGTTTTTTTTTTTTGGTTTTATAATTCTTCTAAGATAACGATGCGCCTCGGGTATATGATAACACAATGCGCGATTTGCAACAAAGCGACAGAGAAGGGACGCCCAATCACGTGCGCTCGTTTTCATAGGAATCGTGCACACCGTCTAGCGATCAAAAGCGTTTCACAATCAATAGATAGTGCGTGGAAAAAAACAGGCTGTTCTGTGGTTTTTTATCGATCGGGTCGTACGTGGGGTTGGGTCGAGAGAGGATGCAATCGAGATACACAGGGAGATCGAGGAAAGACAACAAACAGTCGAATAGTAAAGAGAGGAAATTAGAAATATAGAAAAAAAAATATATATATAATATACATATGTGAGAGACGGAGAGAGAGAGAGAAGAGAGAAAGAGAGGAAAGGGTTCAACGAGTATGACGATCAAAATTCGAGTCAAACACGCCATGCCGGACTATCGACAACCGATACCCGTTCGTTCACTTTCACAGGGAGCACGTATCGAATATCGCGCTGATCAGTCGACGATCATCGAAAAAAATCGGGGCCTTTACACCGTACTGGCATAACACGATGCACGCTCGTAAACGTGTGTGCCGGGGCGTTTTTTTTTTATCTATATACAGGGTTTGTAAAGTAATGCGTCGCATTTTTTTGTGACCTTACTATATATATATATCACACACATAGTTACATAACTTTCCATCGCTAGGCGGGTGCCGATGGTGAATGTATATAAAAGCATAGCCTATTGCTGCGGGTATATGTAATATAATGCGGCGGAAAAAAGTATATAAAGCTGAATGTTTGTAATTAAACCACGAGCCAATCAGCGTACAGCTCCTCCGTCCATTAAAGTTAGTCCGGCTCCTGGTCTTTGCGAGACATCGGCAGAATGACAGTCGATCGGTTTAACAATTGGTCCTATATATAATTGTCGCGCGCGATACTATGAATTGTTATTTCTCGGACATTATCTCTATCAAGGAGATCAATGATCGATTTGATTATCAAATATATGTGATTATTAATTGGGTCTTCTGAGGTGAAAATTACGAGATCCATAATATTTTATATATTTTTAGTCATGTTCGCGAAGAGAGCGAGCGAGCGAGAGAGAGAGAGAGAAGTGCCGCTTTGAAAAAAAATTGATACTCCGTTTTTATTTATATCGATTTATTGGAACTTTTGTTTGAAAAATGATCGCACACACGTATAGGTGGAAAGATAATTTTTTTTGTCCCCGGTTTTGCTTGTTTAATAATTATCAGATGCGTCGAGAGCGAGAAGAAAATCGGAAGAATCGACTTCCTTCTGACGAGTCTCGCGGAAAACCGGATGGGTGATTCGTCGAGGTCGATTCGCGATGGACGAATCGAATGGACGTGAGCTCTCGCGTTCGTCAGGAACGGGTTACCTTAAAAATAAGTTCGCTTTTGCTGAAACCGGACTTCTTTTTAGTCATATTGTCAGAACTTAGGCGCCCCCTCCGCTCAGTGCGTTTTTTTTGTAGGTTCTGCAATATCTAGAAACAAAAGAAAGCGGGACATAGCCAGACGTAGTAAGAAGAGGGCAGGTTAATAGAAATTTTTGGCAGGTTAGTATAGAAATTTCACAAAGAGTAGGAAAAACAGTATATATATATATATATATATATATATATATATATATATAAGAAAGAGGAGGAAATATAGAAAGAAACAGAGTGAGAAAGTAACAGTAAGGAGAAAGGGAGAGAAACGTCGGTGTAATTAGTAATAGACGGATATGTATTATAGTTGACAGCTTTTTTGCAAGATGGTAATATAGTGATACAGTGTTGCGAAGAAGTATGACAGAAGAATAGAAAATTGTCAGGCTGTAGGATCGATTTTGTTGTTCCGGTCTCTCGTAGGATCAGAAACACACTGCCCGTGTGCAGACACAGTAGCTACATCACACACAAACGAAACGCTGAAAGACAATCCCATCCCTAATGTATCGTTAGAATATGGCACTCGATCGCGACATCCGGCCAGCGGATATGCGCAAACGCAGTGGACGTCATTTTAACGGTTCCTAACGATGAGATCCTGCTGTATCAGCTTTGCTTGAAAGGAATTGAGAGAAGAGAAAGAGAAAACAGATTTGTAGGGTGTTGGTATACTTCTCATTTTGCATCTCCTTCCTGAAATAATACTGCTATAATACTGTGTGGCACATACACAAGCACATAAATAGAGTAAATAATTAATGCCAAGTATATCAAGTCAGTTAGTATCGGTGTAATACTTTTGTACTTCGCGAGCGAAGTAATCGATCGATCGATCGATCTATCGATCGGAAAGAGTGAGTAGAAAAGTGTGAGAGCGGGAGCGCAAGTAAAAGAACGATTTCGGTGAGAGCGAGTGTTGTGCACGCGAAAATACAATCGGTACGATGACAAGAGAGGAACGATACGGTGATCCGTGAATTAGATAATTAGTAATCAATAAGCCATTCGTTAGTATCAAAGCTACCGAATTAGCCATCGCGCGTCAAGCGTGAAGCCACAGTTCCTTCTCAAGCTCGGATGAAGCTCGATGAATTAATTAGCGGATACATATGTAGTGGCATTTACGGGTTATATTTAAAAAAACACGCGTCTTTTAAAGCCGTGTATCTTGTTTGCAAATTTATTTCACGTACGTTGAAATAATACAGGAAGATAATTGATCTGCTGTATCGCGATGTTATCGATCTTAGTTTCTTAATGCAAATTTCACAACATTGTTTCGATTTAAAATAGAATAATATAAATAGGAATATGTATTTGTGTGTATGTATGTGTGCGCATCGAAGAGAATATAACATTTTTATATGTGGCAAGTTATTCATTTTGTGTGACCTTGACAAATATTTAATGGAATTAAAGGGGAATTAATCGAAAAAGACTAAAAAAAAGAAATATGAAAAGTATATATTAATTTATATTTAAAGCAATAAAATGATCTTAGATAATTCGGTGAAATAAATAGCTTCGATTCGTGAAACTCAATATAACGATGAGAGAGAAATCTGTAAATCTGATGATCTGTAAGATATAAAAGTTTCACCCTTGCGCGCATCGCTGCTCTGCTAAAAGAAACAATCTGTGACGAGATAAACACACAACGGTTTGCATCTAAAAGAGGAAATCCTTTCCTCTATTTTTCTGAAAAATTTCATGCAAAAAGCACGAAGGTAGAAAAAACTTGACGGTGATCAGTATTTTTCGCGAGAGTGTTCCGTATGCTCTGCAGTTCGAGAGATGAGAGAACATTGTATAGATAACGACGAGATTATAGTACACAGAAGCAACACCAAGGATACGCTTGTTCATCGATCTTGCAAGTTTGCTCTGTCGCAAACATCTGCACATACATATGCATATATCTCGGGCCATAATTCGCGCGAAGAAATGCGCGATTTGCGTCGTGTTAAGTGCGCGCTGCGAAAATCACGCAATAATAATCGCGTGATAATTATTCTGCGTGACAGTTATGATTTATTGTCTCTTAATGTGCGCATACACACATGGGCACGTTTTAATTTATATGGCGAATACAACCAACCCTGACCATTATCGCCAACGGTTTGCTACGCGGTTGTTAGCTTTAATGTTCGTGCTCACAAAGGCACACTCATGTTTATTATCTGATTTAATTACAGTGTAAAGGGAAACTCGGAGAGTGTACGGGCGGAAAAAGTTTCTGCACTCATTACAAGAGCGTGACATTTTTAATTAATTAATTAATTGAACGTAAGACTTGGAATATTTGATCATGTTACTGCTCACATTACTTTGTTCTATACAACATTGGAAATCTATGCAGAGTTGGAAAGAATTTTGTTGAAATATTTGCTGATAAAATCAATATTTAATATAAAATATTATTATTGCTCGAAGAAAAACAGAATTACTGCAATACAATTTTGTATATCAAAATTATTTCAATTTCAATTATTTCATCAATTTAACATAATAATAATTTTAAATCTTTCGGCGCAAAGCCTTTTATGTTTGTTTTTTTGCATGTTTCTTTTTAATCTTTCTTATATTTTGTGCCGTTTTAATTTTCTGCATCATGAATCATTTATTTATTTTTTCTGTTATAAGTGTGTTAGAAGTTTTTAATTGAAATAAATAGACTAGAAATTAGAAACTTTTATAATTAAATTGTCTTAAACTCAAGATGATATATCAAAACAACAAAAATATTATCTTATATTTTTATGCACAAGTTTATTTAGACTAATTATTTTAATATTTTAAGACAAGTGACAGTTTCACAGCGATCATAATACTTTGCAATTCTCCAAATTGAAGTATTTATTTAAATCTGCTTAATTTTGCATGATAAGTTCTGTTTGACGAAAAGTACGATAATTACTATAAAAGGAAGAAATGGAAAACGAGTTTCGTCTCTTTCCAGATCGAGAGCTTGCGATTAATCAACTGTCTCCTGTTTATTTCCGGTCTCTTCGCGAAAAACGAACTGCACGTATAAATGACACAGTACATGTTAACACACATACAAACACACACACACACACACACATTCTGAAAAATGTTATGCTTCGCTTTCTAGAAAGCAACACGCGTCAGAGACAGCATCTCTCTCGTAGAAAATTTTCCTCGTTATACAATAGAATCGAGACAAGACTGCATCATTGACGATTCGCCGTGCGATCGCGGAAGAGCATCAATTCTCAAGACGAATGAAACGCGAAAGATGCACGCGAGACAGAGGAAACGTCATATCCGCTAAACATATAGAGATATATTATGTATATGTATATATATATATGTATACATATACATAATATACTGTATGTATATACATGTGTATATATATATATATATATATATATATATATATATATACATGTCAAGTAGCGAAATCGTAAAATAACCGCGCGTTGTCGAGTACTTCCCTCGCTCCTGTCATAGAGGCCAGAATGGATCTAACGATCAGATCTACGGCGTAAAAAGAAACACGCTGAAAAATACCGACAATATTATAATATAAACGTGTTCCTGGAGAGAACAAACAAACCAAATATGATAATATTACGGATACATACGTGGGCAGAGGAAAGTATTAACGATGTACTCTGCGTTATTGTATTCTCCGTCCTGGTGGAAGTAAAATATAAAAATAAAATAAATAAAATAAAATAAATATGGAGTATTGGAGAGTCGCTTCTTCCTTGGTTAAATCAGGCATATCTAAACAACACGAAATAACAAGCAATCAGATGGAACACAAAATAATCGGGGATAAAATAATCGGCGAGGTTCGCTAGTACCAGAAAAGTTTAGTTTACCATAGAAAAGGAATAGGAAGAGGAAAATGTCTTAAAGGGAGTAAATAAAATTATGGGAGCACACACCGAACACGGGCACATCGCCAAGAATTTTGTGGACAAATAGGGTTAGTATACACCTATACACTCACAGGCAGACCTACAGTTAGACCAACCAACTTTCTCGTCTGTAGAGCGGTTCGCGTCGAATACCTCGTAGATATTTTTTCTATATATATTCGTTTTATTATTTTCATCGTACAATTATTTGCATTGTACAAGATTCTTCTTAGACATTTCGTATTTCATAATCGCACATCAGCTGAGAATCAAGTAAGATAAGACTTTGCGACAAGCGAATTCTCGATTCTTAATCATCATCGTGACCTCATTCGCTACCATTGTCAAGAAATGGTGCATCCGTTATGTATGTATAATACTATCGATACAGTTACATGCACACGTATCTAGATTATGCAGTCCGTCACTGAAAGAACGTCGATAACTGCTATTGACTTATACATAATATACATGCGCATCTATGTCGTATCAGGCCAATGAAGTTATGCGGCTTATGGGGTCAGTGATAATCAAGAGTCGAGAAATTCGAGGAGGATAGAGTGTGCCGTTTTTGTTCGGCGATCGACACGAACGTTTTTGCGATTTTACGCGATTGGAGCGCGCGATCCATCAGTATTCGACACGACCAATTAACTCACAATGACTATTCGCAACCAAACTCATGTTAGTACCTAGCACAGAACGGAACTTTCCAACAAAACCCGACAAAAACAAGAGCATTTCATACCAAAAAACCGTTTTTAAGAACTTTGGCGAGTAATTAGCTATTCGGTGAAACATGGATTTCAACTATATATACATATATATATATATATATATATATATATATATATATATATATATATATAGTTACGTCATAGAAAACATTGTCACTAGAAATAATACTGCAAGCATCATTCTCCATTGATTAATACATACTGGATTCTTCTCATTGTCAGCTAATATCGCATCTTCTAATTTGTGATCCATGTCACACGTCGCATCGCCAGGACTACAGGACTAAGAGCAAGTCTGATCAAGAGCTTGTTCAAATATCCTATACTTTAAGATTTACTCTCTTTCGAAAAAAAAACAACTGTGTATTTATCTCTCACGAGAGAAAGAGAAATAAAACGATATTATAACTTACGAATAATTTCAATTAAAATCGACATTTTTTCATAATTTTTACAATTCTTATTTAAGAGAGATTTCGATTATCAGTAAAACTCTTCTTGTACTCGTATAAATTTCACTTTAAATTATAAGAAAGCCACGCGAAACGAAAGGCAATAAAAGGGTAATTCTGTAAATCTAAGTACGAGTTATAAACATTTGATTAAAAAAAAAAAAAATAGGCATAGTCTCTTTACTTCGATCTACTATTCCTCGATAACGTTAAAGCTCTTGATCGGCTCTGCTACAACTCACAAACTGGATCTAAGTATGTCGGGCGTGTTATATATGTGTAAAAAATTCCTCGTACCGAAGACTGTAAATTACGTACGACAAGACTATGCACGCTCTCTAGGAAACTCAACGAGAACGATGACGACAAAACGAAAATGACAATGATAATAATCAGAATAATTGTAACCAATGAGTAATAACAACGAAAGAAACAATAGCAGTGAATAATAATAATGATCTAGCGTATATAGATATACGTAGAAACACATTGAGGTTTTGTGTTAACGAACGCTTGAATCAAGAAAGGGCAATTGGCCTTGGTTTCAGGGTTACTAGGCAGGCACACCTTGCTGGTTCGGTCTGGTTGGGGCGGTGTCGCCCGACGCTCGTAGTGCCTCTCCGGCTGTTGATAAAGGGGGATCTGCAAACCCATTCGGAAACGTGTTCTCGCAGTACGCCTAGTAGTCGATTTCTTGTATATATTTATGTTCTTTGTGTTGGCGGAGTATAAAGTACAAGATTCTCTTGTATGTGTGTGTGTGTATGCGTTTGTTAAGTGAGAGTTGCATTGTGTATATGTACGCACAGAGATGAAAAAAACGTGTAACATATAGAAAGACATAGGAAGAGATTGTCATTGTTTCACTTGACACTTTTGATCACAAAGAGAGAGAGAGAGAGAGAGAGAGAGTGAGAGAGAATAGATTTTCGATGAGATAATGAGATTCGCGAGATTGATGTTATGAACAGAGCGACGTAATAATCATGCGCCTCCTGTGATTTCGTTTTATTTATTCCCGATTCTTATGTTCATCCGATATAGCGATTTTGCGTTATATCGAATGAACATTTTGAGATTCTATGTCCATATTAAAATCATCAAACGATGAAAAGATAAACATAATGTGAGTTGTGAAAGAAAATCTCTCCGTTATAATTTCATGTTTACACACAATTGTATTCGATAATACATTTGAGAATTGGAAATGAAAGATTATAAATACTGCTTTCCATGCGTATTAATATATTTTTAAATAAACGATGTATCATCTAAAAATAAAATTTCGTTTATTTAGCATTAATATATTTAGTGGAAAAATATATAAAAAATGCAATGGCTTAGCCAGTAATCTGAATTAAAATTAAATTTTAATACAAATATTATATAGCAATCGATATATTACGATCTACTCGTTCTAATTGAAAAATAATAATGAATTTTTATTTGATATTTATATATGAAATAATTGATTAAAGTTAACTCTGAATAGTTGGATTTTATCGATACGATATACAATATGCATTTGTTTCGAAATTTATTGTTTGCGTTCCAAAAATCTAATATATAACATATTAATGATAATAATTCGATTTCAATCCAAATGGATTTTGATGTTTTTAATTTTATCTTTAAAGTGTTTGTATGAAAATGATGTAAAACCTATACAGTTATTCTCATTGTCGTTGGCACACTTTCGAAGTCATTGGCTCGTCAATTTTTTTTGCTATTAAAACTTGAAGTTGAAGAGTTAAGACAAGAATTGATTTAATTTTGTCATTAAAAAGAATATTTTATCCCTACACTTTAATGGAGAAATCATTTACCTTGTGATGAAGAAAGAGAATACAGATAACGATTGTCGATACTGTTCGTATTTATTTAGCAGTATCGTTGTCCATTTCGTGTAATCCTGCACTTTTATTCGATGAAAAGTAATTTGTTCGAGCGATAAGTGGTCCGCGCTTTAACGAATCTATATTGCACTTAGAACGCAGCTTTCCCTCATTGCATACATTTTTTTTAAAAAGCATACCTGCAATGGTTTGTACAACAGAATAGAACAGAGAGGAAAAAGCAGAGGGAGGCAATAGTAAAACGTTTCAAGGCAAGCGTAACAAGATTTTCAGCGAATGACAAACTGCTCTCTTGATTGGACGAAAGGCCTGATTGATTCGTTGGTCTCTTCGCTGCACGATTTTACGCTAACAGCGCGAGCACAAATGTAACATAAAACGTTATCCCACGTAAACACAATCGCCGATGTGCTGAAGCACTGAAAGGTAGCAAGATAATTTCTCAACCCAATTATCCACGCAAACAATTAAATCCACTTGCAGTTCATTCGCTGTATAATTGACCTGGCAAGATATAAATTGTGTGCATGTAAAGTCGTAGATTTTTATCGTCTCATTTTTCTCCTCTCATCTTCTCGCTAACATAAGCGTGTCAATTTATTAATTGATGACATGTGTGTAAATTGTTTTTTCTATTCTATAAATGCAATAGTTACGGTGTAATATTTAATTTGAATTAACGAGATGAAGATGTTGGTTTGAAGAATCGAGATGTATTTGAAGTATATGAGATTTTTAAAGACGCGAATTTTTAACGGAATTTATAATAAGACTCGATCTAATTTTTCGATTTTTTTTCATATTTAGTTTTTGTATCTTTTGCAAAACTGACTTTCAACAGGGTGGGCAATACGTTTACGCGTCGCTCATCAAATGATTTGTACATTTGTTTGGAAGGACAGTTACTTACCCGTTAACGGATCGTACCATTACATTACGTGCGCAAAATCGACATGTGCGTTACGAGAGCAAAAAGTAAACGAATAAAATACGAGTAGTAGCGAACAGCAACAATTATCGGTGCATTGAAACGATAATGAAAAATATATAAAATTCGTATGTGTATCACGAGATTCTCTAGCAAATTTTACGATATACTACCGATGATTCTGCAAGACACGCAATCGCGTGTGCAATATACGTGTACCTTTTTTCCCTCTATTGTCATTTTTGTCACGCTACCTCTCTGTTTATTCTCCGTTATTACACTGTTTGTTTAGGTGTATTATTTATTATTATGGCTATTATCTGTTTATGCTCCTCTCGGTGCGATGCGATATGATCGAACAAGAGAGAGAGAGAGAGAGGGATTGATAGGTAGATAGATAGAAATAGAGAAAAAGAGAGAGAGAGAGAGAGAGAGGAGAGAGAGAGAGGAGAGAGCGAGAGAGAGCGAGAGAGAGAAGGAGAAAACAGCTGACTCTAATTTACTATTATTGTCATGAAAGAGAAAGATAGACGGAAGGATCGGAGATTTTCATATAAAGTGGAAGTTTTGGGGTATCACGGGATATACTAGAGAGTAGAGCCGTGGGGACATTCATTATATGTTCAGCAACGGAAAGCGAAACACAATCTAATAATCCTAGTTCGAAAAGATTCTCCGCAGTGGTGGACTGAGATTTTTACGACAAAATTGCTGAAAAAGTTATTTTGTTAAGAAGCATGTCCTATTCTGCTGCATACACCTAGAAAATATTTGTACATATGTGTGTATGTGCGTGTGTGTGTGTGTGTGTGTGTGTATGTGTGTATGTGTGTGTGTACATATATATGTACATATGTATGTATGTATATTTTTGATAGTACACTTGATGAAATTCCTATGACGGACAAATGGAGTATCCTTGTATAAGGACAAAATGAAATTTTTGCTAAAATGCGCAAATTCAGAAGAAAGCTTTATAAGAAAGATTGCCTGCGGAGAAAATCCACCACTGACGTGAGAACTTCACTGACATTCAATAAGTCACCTGTGATTAGGTACAGAATCTCCATGTAAAGATAAAATATAAGAGGCTGACTCTGTTGTTCCTCCTTTTTATCCCCTTTAATTCTCTACAGCGACCATGTATTCAGGCATAGACATAATTATTTAATATCTCGCGTAAGTGCGGAAGACGATTTCTGCAATTGACTGATTCAAAAAACTGACAATCGACATTAATTAACTCTTATTAGATCTCATTGTCGGTAGGAAAAGTAACGGTAGGAAGAAGATCGTTTGTCAGCTTCCTGAATCGTTAAAAGTCACTAAATGCTTCTTTTTTTTGGAACGTAAATTACACGAACTACACGTATCGTATATGATATACAAAATGAGAGAACAATGCTGTATAATAAATAGTGGAACACTCACATAGACCTCTTCCCATTGCGAGACATACCGCACCAGTCTTGACAAACGTAGTAACCTAACGAGTGACAGCAGTTTTGCAAGCCTGAGAATCCTGAGAGCACGTCCAGCATGCAGGATCTGGAAGGACTCGCTGAAGTCCTGAAACTAGCGAATTTATTTTTATAAAATATTTGACTTATCTTTTCTTTCAATCCAACCGACTGCACATCAATATTCACGATACTGAGAAATTATACTGAAAATAAATAAGAGTTTTAAATATTTTATCATATATTTTTAATGTTTTGTGTCACAATATCATTTTACTTGACTTTGTTAAATTCACAAAATTATTATATTAATTATTAAAATTATCATTAATCATTTTACAAAATTAAACGCGATTACTCACTGTCTGAATTTTTTTTACCATTAATAATATATTACACCAAACATGTAGAAAATATAAATGCTATACTTTGTTATTTATAGGCGGACAAATTGGAAAGAGTTGTGCTTTAATAATTTTTCCTCGGAATAAAATGAGCTAATAACTTATAAAATAACAAGGACTTAACGTAAAGTCGCATTAACGAGCTATACGATGCACAGGATATACTTACTTGATTAAATATGAGGAAAATGTAATCTAATGGTATGGAGGAGATGAGGTCAAGAAAGAACCAAGTCCTGAGGTAGTGTTTCGCGATTAATTTCGGATCCAGTATCACTTGTTCGGAATTATCCTGCTGCATTATACCTGCAACGAAATAATGTCACATGTATTTTCCATCGTCGATGATTTTCCGAAATCCGTAAAGCTCCGATCGCCGTCAAAAACACTAATGCTGTAGCCTTATGTTCTGGCGACTTGCCATATATTTGACATGTCGCAGTGCACTCATTATACATATACATTATGTGTAATTTAATGACCGGGATTGGGGATACGAAAGACGAATCTATTAGTTTGCATAAAAAAGATAATTATTGTTTTATGTTGTTATACATAAAACATCCGCTAATATGAGTCAGGAAATTTTTAACCAAATCGACGCAATGCGATGCGCAATGTAACACAATGATTTTCATCGGCCGCGACTCGTGACCCAATTCCACGTTTGTGGAACCGACTCAAACACGTTCAAATTAATCCTGAGGTAATAACGAAATGTCAAGAAGCTGAGAGTGTTCTGTCCTGCGCAACAATACTATCATTGTGCACGTCGGGGCCAGCAGGGCCCAAAGTAAATGATCCATTATGCATTGCGTTTTTTGAGATTTCGTCGGTGCCTTATAAAGACATAGAAGAGGCGATGAATAAAAGTTAAAGGGAGAATAAGCCTTTAAAATCTTATCTAGAAGAAAGTTTGAAAAGTTCTTAAGAAAGACAAAAATTCTATTGAATTTATATTTAGAAAATTATTTAATATCGTTGACAAGATAATTTTGTCCTTGCAAAATGTACAGTTAAAACAGTTAATCAAATAATACATAGTAGAAAGAGTTTGACAAAAAAAAATATAATTAATTTTAAATATTTTTTTATATTATAAAATACGTATGCATATTAAAAATTTTGTTTATAGAAGGAACGTGAATATTCTGGAATATTAATTTGTATCTGAATTTTATGCTAAATTTATATCGTGAAGATAATAAAAGCTGAAATGTTAAATAGAATTCAAATAACATTATTAGTATTTCTATTACGATAACACTTATAATTGTATAAGAGTTTTAACAAGGCTCTGTAATATAAATATAAATTTAACGTATAAGACGGGCAACAGGAGCCAAATCGCGGATGACAATGCGTTATCCTAACGAAACTAAATAATTTTTCGTTAGAATTAAATACCGGTGCACAAGGCACCAAATTTTTACTTGGACACGGCCAAGATTTTAAATATGAAATAATCTCATATTTTGAGATTTAATTTCAATACCCCTTTTAATGTTTACCAACATTAATATATATAACAGAGAAAAGTATAGAATCGAAAGGATCTGAATAGCTCAGCTGGAAAAGCAGTCGCCCGGCAAGCGAAAGGTCTCGGGTTCGATTCCCGATTCAGCGATTTTCGGATCTATATTTTCTCTTGCATTCATTTATTTATTTTCCGTAGGGGGGTTAAAAGGGTATTGAAATTAAATCTCAAAATATGAGATTATTTCATATTTAAAATCTTGGCCGTGTCCAAGTAAAAATTTGGTGCCTTGTGCACCGGTATTTAATTCTAACGAAAAATTATTTAGTTTCGTTAGGATAACGCATTGTCATCCGCGATTTGGCTCTTGTTGCCCGTCTTATACGTTAAACTTATAATTGTATTCTCTTGAAAGTTTAGTCCGAACTTATGAGCGCGTATGTTTAAAACAAAAATAGCTTCTTCGGAAAATTCTGTTGATATGTTGGAAATTTATTATAAAAGAATAATAATTGATTGAATGATTAAACTCACCCGTCCTGAAGTTGACGACGATTTCTATAAGGATATCGTGTCGGAAAGGCAGTTGAAGGCTATCCACCTAGTGCTTAGGTCGTCATTGAAAAAACTAATGGCGACTGGCAGAATTATCAGATTAGCTACCAGTAGGAGGAGCATGCAGAGGTCCCAGTAGAATCTGAAAAAAAAAGAAAAATTATGTTAGAATAAATCTATTATAAATCACAAAAGTTAAATATTTTTATTTTACAATAAATAAATGTATTGTGCTATCTAAAAGCGAGAATCTGATTCATACAAAAAGGGAAGATCGTGATAACACTTTAGACTTTTTTCTCATTCCACTTTGTTCATTTTAGCTCATACGAGATAGTTACTTTATACTCTCACTTTGAAGTGAGCGAATATCTGAACCAATGGAGCTTATAGGGATTGACTTTGCAATCTCCGTTAAAATAACTCTCAGAATCATTCAATCTCTCGCCTTTATCGTAAATCTTTAAATCTAGAAGATATAAATTATTTTTTTCATGTATATTCTTTAGATAAAGGATTTCTATCTAAGGAGAATAATTTCGTTAATTTTTATTTCAATATATTTTTGTGATAAAAATATTTTTTACTAGAGAAAGATAATTTTTATATATATTTAAAAAAATATTAATTTAACATTAATATTTTTCTAAAACACGCATTTTTTCTGATATAATTAAATTTTACTTAATTATTACTAAAATGACACATGTATACATATTGTTTAATTGAAAAGAATAAATGATATTAATAAGTCTTAATCTTTACAAAAACAAAAGAGAGTTGATTCTAAGCGATGCCGATTATAAACGAAATGTACGAATATACATTTTCTTATGTCTACCGATATACAAATTTATTTCATATTTTTGATTCGCTTAACCGGTTACGGAATCATTAGTCTGCAAAGTAGCGCTCGTGAATAAGAATGAGGGTAATTTTTCACTATTCCGCGGGAAAGGTAGCGGGAAATTCATGGCACAATTGAAGACATGAGGCGATTTCTCTTGGGAAGATTAGGTGGAAATGCAGAATAAACTTTTCCGCGTTTTATATTATTGTTAAAGGGAATATTTCCTAGTAAAAAAAGTTTCGTCGAATGTTCAAATTATCGCTCCGTAGATGACCGACAATTTGAAAATTATATCCTTACATATTTGATTATTATAATTGATACAAGTTTTTGACAAAAGTTTTTGACAAATAATTGCTTAAACGCGATAAATAAAAATGGAAAAAGTATATACAAATACTAAATAACGATAATCGATTTTCGAAATAGAATTTCATAAAATTCAAATGTAAATCAGATATTGAATTAAATTCGGATATCTGTCTATAATTAAATACGCTTTTAAGTGAGATTGAAACTAAATTGGGACGAAACGAGATTATTTTTTGCTATCAATACTGTTGTCCTTAGCGGCGAATATGCGATGAGAATAGGAACGAAGGGAGGACGTTTTCGATGGACATCAGCAACTTTGCGAACTGCAATGCCGTAAATTGTGATTGTTAAACGGACAAACTCGCAGCGTTAATTTCGCAACTTTGAAATTTTCAATCAGATATGTACATGACAAAGTTATGCACTGGCAGTCCATTTTGATGTAAAACATTTCAACTTTTCTGCGCTCTAATGAGAATAACGGTGGATAATGCAAAATTACACAGTATGACGATGATGAAATCATACATATGGATGAACAGGAATCTAATTATTTCTGGATGTTTGTAGTTCTGTATATGTTCATTCCTCAACTTCTTCTAATATTATCGAAAAATTTATTTCATCATTTAATACATTACTTTCTTTGTCATATATATCATTCTTTACTTCATTATTTATTCAGTAATGCAATGATGTAAAGAAATGTTATTGCACGTTCATTAATTTTCAAATATGTAAAGAGTTATTTATTCGGGAAATAAAATTGTGTTAATAACCACTTTACGTAAATACAATTACATTTGAATATACGGAATATTAACGGTATATGCGAATTACGTACTAATCACGTACTAATTCTTGAATTACGTATTAAGAATGATGTATGAACGATGATATTGTTCTATAATTTGGATTTACTAGATGCATTGTAAACTTCGCAAATTCAACAGTCTAGCTTGAAGATTAGTTAGACACGAATCACTGAGAGATTTCAATATGCAGCTGATGCACGTAGATAGTTGATGTCTTACGCGATGCACGAAATTCACGTTATAATACATGAATTCCTGCAACAACATGAATATGATGATATATTACGGTATAAATTGCTATTCTTCAAATTATCAACAATTTGATTTATTTTTTCCAGTAAATTATCATCTCAACAAAATAAATCGTGTATACAGGAACATAATACATCATTTTATTTAATACTTGTAAGTATTAATTTTCTTACTAAAAGATATTTCAAAAGTTTTTGTAGTAAATTTTTATATGGTTTTCAAAGAGATTTTCAAATATTATCTAAATTTTTTCTTATTTAAATAAATCGTGAAAGTAAACACAATTTATTATAGAGTTACGAATAGTTATCTCCCTTTATCATATAAATAAAAAAAGAAACTTTAAGATAAAACTTTAAATGTGTTTCTTTTAAAACACGGTCTTTTCCTAACCATCATCTTAATTTATTAATAGCAATATATAAAATTTATTAACTAGATACTAGAACTATTTAATGTCGTTGTGACAAAAATATCGAGATGGAGGAAATATTTGAGGGATTAGTCGATAAAATAGTCTATAAACTATATAATAAAGTAGTATAACTGCGCTTCAATTTTATTAATTTGCACTCATACATACGAACCATTATTACGTCAATACAATGTAATACACACGGCTAAATCAATCACAACGAAAAAAATAATGTATTCGTAGAGTTTAAAGAACAAAGGTTTCGCGCAAAACTCAATTTCTGAAAGGTCGACTTTAATCAGTTCAATTTTCATTCAAGCCGGAAACAATGATAACACTTTTCGAAGTAGGTAATAACATTCTGCATTCGGGCAATAAATGCATTCGTACCTCACAGTATATATCTGAATCTCTCAGTATCCTACTGATGTTTCTCTCTCTCTTTCTTTCCCTTTAGGTAGCTGATTTGATTCAATCTCGCCATTCAAAAATAAACTCCATTTCCGCGATGCGATACATTTGCGTCTAAATTTATTGTTATTTCAGTCTCAGTTTAGTAGATATTGCTCAACAAATTGTAAATTATATTGTTGTTTTTTTTCCATACACATTTCTCTCTCTCTCTCTCTCTTCTTGTTTTAAATATAAGTTTTATTTTTATACATTGAATATCGTTGCTGCACACATTCTAGCTCGCAATATGCGTTTTAAAAATTGCAATCATTATTATGCATACAGGTATATTTAAAGAGATTTGAATCTACAAAAAAAAAAAATAATTTCTTTCTTCCTTTATCCGTTCCTTTTTCTCTATTTCGTGCAGATCACGAAACAACACGCACGTATATAGTTGGAGCTTTTGCGTGTCCGGTGTCGGATGTTGCACGCGAATGCATCCTGTCGGCGCATTTGTGCGCATACTACGTCGGGAATGGCGGAATCTTCGAATATATTCTTCGAATACCGCGAAGTTTATTTGCGTGCACAACATTGTACGCGATTTTTTGATCAGCAACCGTGTGTGTGTAATGCCGGAAACATTTTATTCGCGTCAAGTACGAATCGCTCGCAACACATCCGCATTTATTTCTCGCGCATTCGTCCACGTAAAGCGAAGCGATCGGAACAAAATGTTTGTACAATTTGAATACGAGTTATAGATATGCCTCCGTGTATATGCTGTAATTGAATTAGATTATGCGGCCGGCAAAGACTGCAGCTACACTCCATTTTAACTCGAACTGGACGTGTAAACCGCATTAGGATACCGAGCTCAAGACGACATTAGCTCTAATTAATTTATTAGATAATGCTTATAAACGCGCGCCGACGATATTTCAGAGTTTAATGTCATCCTTTACTTAGTTGGCGGGATAGATGTAATCCTAGTTTCGCAGGCAGAACTTCTCAATATCGCATTAATCTTTATATATAACTAAGAGAACGTAATTAATTATTAATTGAGTTAGAAATTCGAACTAGTTGTGCATTAATCAATGAAGATTACATACACGATAGTTTAAATAATGTGTCAATGTTATAATTTAAAAATGACCAAGAGTACATATAGTAAATATATTAAATAATAATTATAACAAGAGATGTACATTAAATAAATAATAATATAGTAAATATCCTTGAACAGAGTGAGAAGAAAAGAGAGAGAGAGACAAATTATGAAACAATAAGATCAAAATATAAAACTTTCTTTATAAAGGATTTACAACATTCTACGTAAATGAGACATTTAAGCGTTAATGCGCTTTTTATCTCCAGAGAAGACAGGAGGATTACACAAAGCATATCTTAAAATACAATTTTCTACGTAATAACTTGTATCAACGAGTCTTCTTATACATTTCTGTCTCTATTATAAAAGTAGTACCGAGTGTTTTATTTTGCCGAGATTGTCTCCTGGCAATTTTCCTTTCAAAAATATTGAACATGCAAAAATTTAAATATCTATTATAAATTAAATTCTATTAATATATTTTTTTTAATTAAAATGCATTATATATATATATATATATATATATATATATCAATATATTTTTTTCTACCTCGATATATTTTCCACGCGCGCATAGAGAAGCACTTACGTGCACATGTGCGTGTATTTGAACTTTTTGTCACCGAATGATTTAGGTTTGACGTTAGTGGTTAGATAATCACAATCCGACAACGAAGAGGCGGCATGGGGCGAAAAAAATGAAACTTATTCGCGATATACACGCGAGGGCCGATTCTAGCGTGCCAAAATACTCGAGCCGGCTTCCTAAACCGAATGAAATGGAATATCTTTGCGCCATAATAAACTGGAGCAGCCCAGTTTCGGGGCTGCACGAAATTAAACGTAATTCAGCGGTATTGGAAGTGGGAAGAAGATTGATGGACGATCGTAGGTTTCCCAGCAGCACGACCGTAGGTCGAATGATTCTTTCCATTATGACGTGCCGTTTGTTTCAATTCGCGGCTCATGTTTCTCCATGAGTTAT